TCAGAAAAGGATTTAGGGAAAGGTGATCTGGGTCCCCCTTTTAAAACCTACATTTAATGTTAATGCAGACATATTACTTGTTCCAAACCTAACCTTGTCAAGTTTGGGGCCCTGGGTACCCCAACTTTCTATAATTCATCCTTCATCTACTTTTGAATTTGTTGCTTATTTGTTATTTGGTCTATGAATATCTGTCTATATGTTGACAAAAAAGTCAATGAAACCACATCTTGATGGTCCCACAAAAATGTTGATAATGTGTACATTTCATTTTTTTTCTAGCTCCTCTCCGGCCTAAATTAATATAAAGTTTGTTTCCCCAATCCCGACCCTGCCAAGCCAGGTGTGGGTAGGTATGTAGGGAAATAATATTATTTTTCCAAAAAGCTTGAACATTATCGGACGATCTGGCAAGCCTGAAAATCCAAAATGATTAAAATAATATTTGACTTAGTTTTGACAATAAAATTTTACGAGTAGCACCATTTTTGCAGGGTCGGTCGGGATTGGGGAAACAAACAATATTTTATTTTAGGCCTCAGACATATGATAGCAGTACCTTTTTGGTCACTATTCTGTGTTGCGTCTAAATATTAATTGTAACACTTTAAAGTGACTGAACAGGTAAAACAAATACTTCTCAAGAAACAGAAAAAGAAGACTACTTGGAACAGCACCAGACTATGTATGAATAAAAACTCAGATCGGAATAGCATGGATGATATATTTATACATTTTGTACATCATTGTGAATAAGCAAGGAAAGCTATTAATAATGGTGCATTTTTTTAAAGTTTATTGGGTTTTTTTATTCATATTCTGTTCGAATTTTCACACAATCTGTCAAAAAGGCAAAACTAACTTTACTGAAACTTTCAAACAATATGAGAAGTGTTTCATTCACCAAAACACTCTTGCGATTCTGCAAAAAAAAATCATGCATGATTTTGTGAATGAAAGGGGAAAGAAGATCCTGACACAGCGCACCTGAGCATGTCAATTGCGAACTGACACAATAATTTATATATCACGACCAGTCAACTGATACTGACATTATCAGAGAGTACACATCAAAGGAAAAATGCACAAATTACCGATAAATTGTTAAATATGATATCATAGAATTAAATATGTTTTATTACAAAGAAATGTGTTCTCAATCTTGTCGATAGATATAACAGAATGTCATATTAGTACCAATGACAACTCTCCATCCAAGTCACAATTTGTAAAAGTAAACCATTATAGGTTGAAGTACGGTCTTCAACATGAAGCCTTGGTTCACACCAAACAGCAAGTTATATAGTCCATATCAATCATGACAATACACATAAACAAACAAAACAACTATCGCTTACTAATAACCCTGACTATATGTATTACATGAACTTGTTGCCATCAGAAATGAAAATTTAAATATTCCAACTAACAAAAGCATATGCTTACACATGCAACCAAATATAAAGCACTAAATGATAATACCAATATGAAGCTCTCATCTTACAAAAAAAATGTCAAGATTACAAACCGCAACAAAATAATAAAAAATATAAGAAGCCAGCTGACAACATGTTCTAGAAAATTATTTGCAATTAATATTTCATTCCAAATCCATTACCACAAAACATCTTCTTACAGTTATACTACATCTGGAAATTAGTAATAACAACACTTAATCTGTACCTTCAAAACTAATTGCTTCTTCTAAGACAAAAGCCAGATGAGATATTCATCACTTGAGGTGCTCCAGCTAGAAATAGAAAGGGGCAGGGTGCCAGTGAAGGGCAGGGCACTTTTTTATGATAGGAAAAGGCACTTCTCATTTCTTTTGTCTACGTTTCTGTGTGTATCACAAGTTCACTTTTTTTTTTACTGTATATGTTGTTAATAAAGATGCATAAGTTGTTGGTTTGATTATTTACTCTATAAAATTTGCATTAGAAAAGTCATTCATACTACATGTTCATAAAACATGGCAATACACATTCATACATCAGATCACTATTAACCAAAAGAAGCGAAATAAACTTACTATTCCCCCCCCCCCCCCTTGGAAAAAGGCGTCAGGGAGGGGCGCAATTAAAGGCACCCAGGGCGTGGCTAAGGGCACCCAGGGTGCGGCGCCCTTCTAATTTGGGCTAAAGAGACCACTGTCTTCTATACATATAAGATGTAATATTCTCATATTGAACGGCCAACTATAGTAGTCAGAGGCGGATTTAGAGAGTTTTTCAGGGGACCCCCCCCTTTCAGGGGAAAACTTTGGTTGATCATATACATGTAGTGAATCACTGAAGCATGACTGGAGCTGGCCCCCTCTTATGAAAATTTCTAGATATGCCACTGGTAGTCCATTTTGTCTAGCAGTAATCCTCAAAAGTAAATAATAAGTTTTTCTTATCAACTTGATTATAACCTTGCTAACTATTACATAACTGTCAAGACACAGTATGCATGTTAAAACTACTTGCATTGTCATAAAGAGTAAACAATCATATTCCACAAAACAAACAAAAAAGTGTTTGTATCGTTACTTTAGCTATTACAAACCATATATATATATACTATCAAATGTGACTATCAAGTCTCCTTCAATGATAACCCTGATTCACCAATTACTACAACTAAAATAAAAAAACCAGGAGAAAAAAGACACTATATATTCTAATGCTTGGAGTGCAAGATTCCAATAAAAACCCCTATACCCACAAACCATCGATCTCAATACATGTATTAGCAGCTAAAATACGGCAAGCTTTTTAGAAAAGCTAATACTTGTATCACATATTATCAGAAGTCCATATTATACATCCTTGGTTTAGTGAGAATGTGATTGGTTTAACGCCGTCACGTGGTGACCCCCTATGGATCCGATATGGCCTCAAAATAAACCCAAATTAAAAGTAAAATAACAAAAATACCGAACTCCAAGGAAAATTCAAAACGGAAAGTCCCTTATCAAATGGCAAAAACACATCAAACGAATGGAAAACAACTGACTTGCAACAGGCATTTTTGTAGAAAATAGATTTTACTAAACCTCAATAGATCCGTAGGGGGTCAGTAATAAATGATATAACTTATAATATGTAAAGTCAGTACATTTTATACTGGGCATGAGCATAGCTTGAGTCACCATTTAAAATTTTCTGACCCGTATATATATATATATATATATATATATATATATATATCCCTTACATCACTGAAGAGACATTAATTGTCGAAATCCGGATATGGTGTACAAATTTTTGCACCTCATGTTTGTGGTATACCATCTTTTCCACAAGTTTATTGTTTTCTGTTGGTATTTAATTAATATTAAGATCCATTTTGTTAGATCTGGTGATCAATTTATTTGGCAATCGCCAATGGCAGTCAGCAGGGTTTAAGAACATCAGTTGTTCGACCTGTTAGTCAAATGCGTTTTGTTAAAATAGACTTTTTCACTTTTTTTGGTCTTTTGGAAATTGTTGTTTGTGATGTATTTAGACCCCTCTACCAAGAAATTTGTTTTACATGCACACGTATAAAAATTGCGGTTTTTATCCAACGCAATCATAGGTTTGAACGTTGTTTTCAATTTAGACTTTTATATATTTTATCGTTTGGGCTTGTATTATATTTTCCTTCGGGTTTATATGATCCGTTCATCCTATTTCGACTCTTTAAAATTCAAGAGTCTTTCCTAAATTGAGGTAAATTATATGGCCTTCCAAATACCGTTTCGATCCCTAACTTCACTGAAGAGACATTAATTGTCGAAATCCGGATATGGTGTACAAATTTTTGCACCTCATGTTTGTGGTATACCATCTTTTCCACAAGTTTATTGTTTTCTGTTGGTATTTAATTAATATTAAGATCCATTTTGTTAGATCTGGTGATCAATTTATTTGGCAATCGCCAATGGCAGTCAGCAGGGTTTAAGAACATCAGTTGTTCGACCTGTTAGGCAAATGCGTTTTGTTAAAATAGACTTTTTCACTTTTTTTGGTCTTTTGGAAATTGTTGTTTGTGCTGTATTTAGACCCCTCTACCAAGAAATTTGTTTTACATGCACACGTATAAAAATTGCGGTTTTTATCCAACGCAATCATAGGTTTGAACGTTGTTTTCAATTTAGACTTTTATATATATATATATATATATATATGTTGTTTACAAATTGTAATGTTGTACAAATTATAATTTGTACAGAATTTTTGTACAAGTTATCAGTGTTTTATGAACCGCTTAACACAAATGGATGATACAAGCATACAGTCTTTTGTTTCGCATATTTTTGTTATATTTCCATGACTACATGACACAGCCTAATACTGAGCATTGCTACAAAAAAACATTATAAGAACACAAAAAAGACTTTTTATGGATATGATTTTGGTACAAGGAGAAAAATAAAAAAAAAGAATTTAAACCATTCAAGTGTCCTTATTTCCAGTTTTACGACAAGGAGAATGGCACTAAATGTTAGGTTAAAGTATATAAATTTGAATTTAAGACATAAAGCTGATAAATTTTACAAGATAAACTTTTTTATCACCTGGTGCAAAAAGGTATATGTCAAAAAACTTATAATTGGTACAAAAACCCCGTACAAATTATAATTTGTACAAACTTACATCTTGTACACAACATATATATATATATACCATATATGGTCACTGACCGACCATGCGAGGGGTGTATAGCCAGTAAAGGTCGTTAAATACTTCCATCATCACTGACGCCATGTGTTATAATTATATCCCACTGACTAGCAACACAACAGGACTTTTTATTTTCATTTTTGCTGTACACTTGACCTTAAGGTCCTTTGAACTTTTATCACTTGTGATAAGTTTCGATCCCGTAACAGTGAGGTTTTTTTTTATAAATTTGTACCTTACACGTGTTTCACTTACAATAAACGTTGTTTAGGTTTTAAAGTTTTTGTACTCAATTTACCTTTACTTATTACATCATAGCTTTCAGTTTCTCTTTGCATTTCCAAAAAACCTTACCTGACTGATAACGTATATTAAATGAAACCAATGCAGTGCATGTCACCTTGCACAATAACTATCTATTTTTGTTTGCAAATGGCGTACGAGACAACATTATAATTTGAAAAAAAGAAAGGTAAATTCAATATATTTTATTGCAATCTCTCATTGAATATTTTCATATTTCACTGCTTGGTACATATTATTATTCAGATAATGTAACTTTATCATTTTTTGTATTCCAAGCATTATGAAAATTAACATTAAAACACGGGCATTAATGTTTTCAGAAAATATGTCGCATGCCATTGTTCAGTCCTTTTAATACCAAGAAATGAATGTAAAATGGTTATTTTCAGTTAGATTGCAATAGAAAATAAAGCATACTAGCTTCGAAATGTTAACTACTAGTATACAGTTTCCGTTTTGCTCTTTGTTGAAGGCCGTACGATGGACTAGAGTTTCTACCATCTAAGTCATTTCGTACCAGGTGGACAGTTATCTTCTTGCCATACCACACATTCTTGTTTTATACCTGCATTTAAACAAACATAATTGCGACAGATTCACATATAATTTTTCCTGACACAGTTAATGAGTTTTTCGTTTTGCCTAATAGAGTTTAAGAGTTCCGCCTGCGCTTCGTATTTGTATTCAGAGAAATAGTTCGTTAGTTCAGTTTTAGTCGAAAAGGAGAAGGGTTTTGGAGAAGAAAAAAGCTTGTTAAACAATGAATAATCAAGTTAATTCGATTATTGTCGTGTTATAATTTAGTTTATATTTTGACATTTGTGGATCTTCTCTTGCTGATCAGTTTTTTTTAATTTAAAGTGTACATGTATATCTCTATCTATTATAGTTTTCATGATAATAGGCAAAAATGCAAACACTTGGCAAAAATCGTCATTAAAGGGCAATAACTTCAATAAAGAGTCAACTATAGTTTGGTCTATATTAATTTATTGATCTTGTCTTGTCGATAATTTTTGCCTTCACAGTTTATATCTATCTTTTATAGATAACAGACAGTCTGACAGTTTTGATATAAATTGACAGTAAATAGATCTAAACATTTTGAAAAATTCTGCCTTGACGAACTTTCTCTATCTTCAATGTTTTTCAAGATAATAGAAAAACTTGCATTTACCCGTATGTTTCTATTTTATGCCATGTAAGCCATGTTAGTTGGTAAGAGGAGTATTCACATTTTTTAAACTAGACACCCCAATGATGATTGTGGCTATGTTTTTTTGTTTAAATTTGGCACTGTTGTTTCAAAGGAGAAGATTTTTGTCAAAGTTAACGGACGACGACGGAATACGACAACGGACGACGAACGACGGACGCAAAGTGATGAAAAAAAGCTCAATTTGCTCTTTGGTCCAGGTGAGCTAATATTAATAAACAACTCACCATGGCAAACAATTTGTGAAGTTGCTTTCTGGTAAGCGGACAGAATATGTCTACGTCGTTTATATGTCAATAACGGCTTACCAACAAATTATATTTGATTTTTCATTTATAAACAATAACTTTGTTATATAGGCTAAAGCTTGATCAGTTTCCAGATCATCATTGTTTAAAATACACATATATATATATAAATAAGATATTATAAATCTAAGCAACAGAAATCTCATGAACTCCAAAAGGAGCGAGACCGGGTGCTTCGACAGGGAAAGAATCTTTTGATATGCATGCAACACATGCATTAAAAATGTACCGGCTGTCAAAAATGTATTACTTATAATTCATGATCGACTCAAACAAGGAACCGGAATGTATATGATAATGTAGTGACAGAGTCGTGTCGTGATTAATCAAATAAAACGGTACCAATTTTACTGCAACAGATGAGCATTTCGAAAATCTATGTCTCCTCAGAGATGCTCGGGAGCAAAATATTTGAAAACCAAAACTAAAAAAAAAACACTTGATAAAATCGAAAAGAAATAAAAGTATTGCGAAACACGGTCGTGAAATCTGTGCTTTGCACAAGGAAGATACATTCCTTGATTTCAAATGACTTTCTAGGTTTTACAATAGCAAGTTTTAACAGACTGTTATACCCTGTTCAATAAACAATATGATAACGATTGCACCTCCTGGAATGCCAAGTAGAGCACACATGTACCCCTTATAGTTAATGCATAAAAAATATATAGATAAACGGCCAAAAGGAGATTACGATTCGGTACAATTAATAAATGCTAGGTTTACGTATAATTATGTTAAGCATAACATATACGTACTAATACTAGGTATGAATATAATTTTAGGTGGATCATTGGTTTATATTTCCTCAGATAGAATTTTGTTATACTTTGCCAGAATATAATATTTTTTTCCGCTTTTTTCAAAAATATAATAAAAAGTATGGGTCACCGTGCTATTTTTTAAGGTACAAGTCGTACAAAATTGCCCAATTTTCATAGATGTTCATGAAAAATAAATTTTTGTGAATAAAAAGAAATCTAAGAGATAGAACTTTGAAATAAAATATGAGAAGATAGGTTTTAAATTATGCTTTAAGAAAATAAAAAGAAAAAATGGTGTCACCGACCTTGATTTTTTTTTTTTTTTTTTTTTTTTTTGGATAGAAGTAAAAATCGAAAATTTCTCTATTATTCCTTTATCAAAATTTTACTATTTGAGTTATATCCCCTTAAAAAGCTTAGTTGACAATTTGGTTCAAACAAACACAGATATTTAGTATTTGATAAATCAGTCTGAATAACGCAATAAATCACTTATCTGTGTTTATTCCAATAAAAGCCTAACCCATTAATTGCCAATCTGCCTCAAAATTTGCAGATTTAAGCAAAGAACTATAATTATTGGGAACTGCTATTTTTCAATCCAAGATGGCGGTTTACATTTTATCTACCTTAACTTAGATAAAAACTGTTGCGTCTGAGTTTGAGGGCCAACCATAGTCGAAGTTTATATGGTAACATCAGTGATAAAATTAACATAAATGCCTGTATACATTTCAGGAAATATCATAGACAGTACTCAATCTAACCACCTTAGACATTATATTCACCGCAGATTAAAGATGGCCAGCCAAGCACAAGGCACTAATGCACAGATACCAACAATTAATATCGACAAAGTAAAATTGGCCTTTGTCAAGAAATTAAAACTTGGTTCACGATTAAAAGAAGGAAATGTCACTGGTATTTGCCAACTACCAGATAAGACAGTAGTGCTGTCGAGTTGTGATATGGAAAACAACCAGGGAAGATTATATTCCATTGAGCCTGACGGCACAATATTATCATCAAAATGTGAAAAAGCACCATTTGGAATAACCTTTTTTAATGAAGAATTGCTTGTTTCATATCCAAAAACACAAGAAATCGGGATGGTAGACATCGATGATTTAGAAATGTATCAAACCTTTGCTAAAGGATATGAATTTCGAGGAGTATCAACAAACGGAACTGACATAGTTTCAATTTCAAAAGGAAAGGGAATAAGTTTTATGAATAAATCGGGTTATATCTATAAAGAATTTCCTCTTAAATCAACAAACGGAAAGACTTTCATTCATTTTGATAAGGAATATATCTACTTTACTGACACAAAAGAACCATGGATAAAATGTATGAATACCATTGGAAAGAGGGTCTGGCTTTGTGATTTGATAGATGAAGCACCTAAAGGATTGTGTACCGACATGTACGGTAATGTATTTGTTGCAGATAGAGAAAACGATGATATTCTCATCGTTGCGGCCGATGGATCAAAATATCGCTCTCATAGTGTAGATGAAGTAGACGAACCTACTGCATTATGCTTTGATAAGGAAAATTGTCAGTTGATTGTGGCAGACAAATCTAGAAGTCCTTGCATTTACCACGTTACGTATAGATGACTATCATGTACATTAACAGTAACTCAAGTAGGTTCGCAATGTCAAGTCATTATAATCCAGACCCACATGACTACAAGGTCATAATAAATATTCACTTTTTTTTGTCATTCATTTAAAAAAAAAAATGATATTTTTAAAGAGGATGATTGTGCTAATAAGCAATTTCATGTTGATGTTGATGTTTTTGTAGAAGTGAAGTATTGTAACATGTTGAAAATAATTGTTGATCCATAGTTATTTTGACCGTTTTTATTTCACATGTCTCAAGGAATAAAATAATTTCAAATAAAGTACTTTTTTTTCATTTCACTTTTATACAAACGAAGAAAGCAACAAAAAGATATCATGTTAAAGGCAATTTGACATGTATTTTATATGCTACTATAGGCGGATAGTTCTCTCATTGGCAATCATACCACATCTCCCTTTTTTACATTGAAAACGTCATGGCAAAAAAAAAGAAAAAGACCAAAAGACAAACAACAGTATAGAAAACTTAAGACTGAACAAAACACACCCCACCAAAAAACCGAGGTTGATCTCGGGTGCTACGGAAGGTAGCAGATCCTGCTCAACATGTGGCATCCGTCGTTTGGCTCATGTTAGTACATACCCGATGTAAATATTTGATGGCCTCTTTAATTTCTTCACAGGCTGAAATCTTGGTGACATTAATTAAGACTGTCATAACCTCAGACATTCAAAGTTTTGAATTTTCATAGATTTGCTAATCGCTATTTTAGTAGTTGAAATCAGGATGATCCAAAATACTTACAATTTGTGTCTGGAAGGTAAATACGGACATTTTCTTGGATATTTCACTACTTTGGTATTCACAAAAATGCTGGAACAAGAAACGTTAAAGCAATTACAGGTTACAATGAAGTAAGTATTTACACAGGCGACAATGGATAAGAAATCCATTGAAAAAACTATCAAGGTCTGAATTTTCGACACCTGTGTGAATAAAACTGCAAAACACATATGGTGCCGCAGCGTTGATAGAAAAATGGTATTTTTTAAGGGTACTCTATTGTTCCTGAATTTTTGAAAAAGTAGGAATGAAGAACAACACCCAGTCCTTAATTTTGCTCATCACAAAGAGTTTCAGATTTTAACCTGCAAGGTGCTTTCACTCAGTGATATAAATGATAATTTTAAATCAGCAATAATGTTCAAAAAAAGCTGTGATGAATGGCAATATGTATTATATAAATTAATGCTTGAGTTATCAATGTGCCGTTATATATTCCTCGTTTTTGTAAGTTATCGTTAATAAAAAGTCATATTATTACCCAGAAGCAAAGGAATATGTTGAGGTTATCGAAGATACAAGATCTATATAAACCCTTGCTAATTCCCAAAGCTACATTTACGAAACTGTGCTTTTACGGATGTTTTTTATCCAAAAGTCACAACAGGTCATACAACACAGATTATTACGTTCGTTTGGCAATGAAATAAACTGTATCACATACCTGCCCAATAGATCAAAATTATTTTGATAAAGTTGTAAATACCCGTAACCAGTCTAAAATACATGTGCCTAATTATCGTAACCAGTGTACAATACATGTAACACATTACCTTAACCTGATTAACATACATGTGTCACATTATCTTAACCCGGTTAACATACATGTGTCACATAACCTTAACCTGATTAACATACATGTGTCACATTACCTTAACCTGATTAACATACATGTGTCACATTACCTTTACCAGGTTAACTTACATGTGTCACATTACCTTTACCAGTGTAAAATACATATTTCCCATAACAATAACAAGGTAGATGCTAGTTTCTTCTCGAAGGGAGGAATAAATCGTATTTTCAAACAAACAAAAAACAATTTGATTCAAACAAACAGTTTTCTGAAAATGACATTATCCTGATGCTTGTTTATATAGAAAAGAGGAGATGTGCTATGATTTCAAATAAGACAACTATCCTTTAGAGTTCACCTGAAGTTGATACAAACAATTATAGGCCACCGTAACAATGAAAACAAAACCCATACCGTTTGGTCGGCTATAAAAGGCCCCCACATGAAAAATGTGAAACTATTCAAACGGATAAACCAACGGCCTAATTTGTAGCAAAACAATTTACGAAAAACAAATATGACAGCAATAAACCAACAACACCGACTAAACTACATGCTTGGTACAGGCACATGTAAAATGTGGCGGTGTTGCATATGTTTGTGAGCGCTCAACCTTCCCCTTACCTGGGACAGTGGTGTTACAGCACAATATAAGTAAAAACTGTAAAAATCAGTTGCAATTGGCTTAAATAAAAAAAATCGGTACGAGGAACAAATGCAATTGAAACCATAGCTTAATAGTCATTGCTACAATTCTATGTCCGTGGTCAAAACAAGTGATTAACAAGCTAGTGCTGATAAAGCATTACTTCTTTCCCCATTGGCACCAAGCGCTTACTATAAAGGCTTCTGAGGGTAATTCAAACGTAAAATTAAGTGGAATACATATTGCAATGTGACCTACCGAATGAGACTTATCACCGGATTTGTATTTACATGACGGGTGCCACATGTGAAGCAGGATCTTCTAACCCTTCTAGAGCAACTTTGATCACTCCCTTTTTTTGTGGGGGGGGGGGGGGGGGGTGGGGGGAGGGGGTAGTCGTATTGCTCGGTCTTTAGTTTTCTTTGTTATGTTTTGTGTACTGTTTGTCTTTTCGTCCTTATTCGTTTTATTCCCATAACATTGTCAGCTTGTTTTCGACTTATGAGTTTGAATATCCCTTTAGTATCTTTTGCCTCTTATTCGCAACATAGATATGCATCTCTTTGTCCTAAATTTGTTTAAAATATTGATAACATTTATTATGTGTGTGGGCTGGTTTATTTTTCTCTACTACCAAAATATCTGTGTATGTTTTGGATATAGAAACGTCCTTACCTGGTCTTCAAGCTGGAATACATTTGACTCGAAATTCACGACCAGACTATATAAATGTTCTTGTGATAACACTATATGTATGTATTTGTTTAAAACTGCAGAAAAGAATAGCTATCTTTACCATTAACATTTTGAATGCGACAGGGTTTTTTAATGCATACTTGTACCCAAAATTACGGGCAAATGATTTTTTGAGTTCTCGTATAATCGTATTTCAAATGTCCTTTTAAAACATGATGGCAACACTTTATAAATTGCATGCGTCCGAAGCACGTTTCTGGACTTACCTTCATCAGGAACGCTTAAAGTCGAATATTTGAAAGCCAATGATGTATAAGAACCGAATCAGATGAAGAGCTATATGAACAAACAGGTACTAAAATAATTGCCAAATCCTTCTGAGGTCAACGTTGCCTCAGGGAGTTGAAACCTTATTTTCTTAATAATTTATAAATTTATCATCGGACAATTTAAGAAAGTTTTGTCATAAATGATACTAGATTTGTGTTGTGATAGTCACATTTGTAATGTTTTGTAATTTTTATTAAATGCTGCATTGAACAGAAAATAATAAATTACTTCGACAAACCAAGCCAACGTAATGACTTGCTTCTTATTTAGCGATGTATATGATTAGAAATTTTTAAATTAGTATGAATGTATGATGGAAAATATTACTGATACAACTGCTGCAAAAAAATGATTAAAAAACACAAATAGATGGATCCATGCTGCTACAACGATGTAAAACAATGAGCTGACATGGATTAATGATGCTACAATGGTGTTAACAGTTGGGTGACATGGCAACATGCTGCTACAAGGGTGTTAACAATGGGCTGACATGGATTCATGTAGCTAAATACGTGTAAATCAATGAGATGTCATGAATGTATCCCTTAAAACAATAGAATGACAGAGATTTAGCTAAAGGTTTGTGAAACAATAAAATGACATGAATTTATGATGATAAAGGGTGTTAACATTGAGATGATTTGAATGTATGATGTAACAGGGGTGTAAAACAGTGAAATGACATGGATTTAAACTGCTTGAAGGTGTCAACAATGAGAGGAGATGCATTTATGCTGGTAGGAGGGTGTTAAAGAATAATATGACATAGACTTACGGGTGTAAAACAATGAGAGGACATGTATTTATGCTGCAACAGGGGTGTAAAAGAACAAAATGATATTGATTAACGTTGCTGTAGGGGTGTTTTGTTACAGTGTTATTTGATAATGAGGTGACATATAGATTTATACTACTACATTTGTGTTTAACAATAAGATGTCTAGACATGTATTCATATTGTGAATTAATTAGATGTAATTTTGATCGAACAGGTATGTTACCATTGTATAACATGGATGTATGTTCCTACCTTGGGGTACAAAATTAGATTATACTGCAACAAGGGAGTTAATTTTGATATGACATCGGTTAATGCGGTCACAAGGATGAAAAACAATGAGATGATATGTAGATTTGCTGGTACATTTGTGTTTATCAATTGGATGAGATGAACGTATGCTGCTTCAGTCGTGTAAATCAATGAGCTGAATGGATTGATACTGCTACATTGGTGAAAAACAATGATATGACATACATTTTCTCTGCTACAAGCGATGAGAAGATATAAAGTTATGCTGTTACAGGGATTTAAAACAACGACATGACAAGGATTCATGCAGCTCCATTGGTGTAAAACTTCGATATGACGTAGAATTTGTTAGCTTCAAAGGTGTAAAACAATGAGATGACATGGATTCATGCTGCTCCATAGGTGCAAAACAGTTGGTTATAACAAAGACCTTATTTGCTATACGGGTTTAAAACAATGGGATGTGAAATGGATTTCAGCTGCTACAGGGATGTAAAACAATAAGATGACGTCGATGTACGATGCTATAGGGATGCTAAAGGTATTATTTTTTTTCCTTCTGCACACCATTTTACGACTGATTGTGTAAATCTATTGTGAATAAGTTAAGATGGAAATTTTAAAATGTAAGGAAGAAATATTTTGGTATCAATTTCTTTAGAAGAAAACAAACATTTCCACGATTTTTCAAGATTTTTCCAAACAAATATTTCCTTGATTGCGTATTTTTATGCTTTGTTACTTTTCATAAAATTAAGGATATTTTTGAATTAGTGAATAAGAGCGAAACATATATATCAAACCTTAAGGAAATAAAGTCAATACGAGATTACTGTTTCCAAATTTTCCCTGCAAATTTGAAATCAAATGTATCATGGTATTAAATGTATGTGCTGACAATGAACAGAAGCAAAACTACAGTCTATGATCTCCAAGCAGGTAAGTTTTTATCAGATTTAATAGCATTAAACTATC